CGCCACCAGGGAAGCCCTCTGGGGGATTTTTAAGAGGAAACACCAGGGAGGCTATTTCTAACCTTCTGTCACGAAATTTAGAGCATGGGCTGAGTAGTGAGGATGGGTGAGCAGTGAGGCGCTGAGTATAAAGGTAGAGAACGCCATGGCAAAGGGGCCGACGTGTGAACCCCATCTTCATGTGCTCCATGGAAGCCTCTGGAACATTCACTGGTGGGGGTAATTGTAACAGCACAAAGGACTGGGGGAAGGGTGTTAACAGCCTCTTTGCCCTCATTCAACTTTGTGTCCCTGTTGGGCTCTGTCTCCACCCAGCCCCACCCCCGCCAGGTCCATTCTCTACTTCTCCCCACTCAGCTCTGGGCTCTGGGAGACAGATCAGTGTGAGTGGGCTCGCCAAGCCCTCTGGCTTCCAGCTGGGTCAGGCCTCTGAGTAACACTGCAGGGCGGTGGGGTGAGCTCCTGCCTCCCAACCTGCAGGATCACTCGTGCCCTTGACTGAAGGTTACAGCTATAGAGTCGGAGTCAGGCTGCCCTGTCTAGTCACCCACCTCTCTCTCTCTCTCTCTCTCTCTCCCTATCTGTCTCTTTCTCCCTTTCTCTCCATCTCTCTCTCTCTCTCCTCCCCTCTTCCCTGAGTCTTGGAACCATGCACCCTTTCCTTACCCTTTCAGGCAGCAAGAGGTGGTCCTGGCTCCCTGAAGGTGGAAACCCCAGGAGATGATACTTTGCCTTAAGGCTTTTCTATATCCTGTGTTCCTGTGCTCTGTAAACATTCCCTTTATTAAAACTACTCTTGGTTCCCCAGGCCCACTCCTTCTCGCTAGGACCCAAGAGACACAAAGCTGTGGATCAGATAGAATCACATGGGTGTGCTTCTCCCAGGTGCCCCAAGGTCCACCCGGAGTAGAGCCTCCTTTGTCTCTCTCCTCCTCTCCCCCGGATGCAGTCAGGGTTCTCTACAGAAGAACGTGAATGACCTTCACCCTTTTCCCAGGAGAGACCAAGCTGGGGTCCTGTGTACCTCAACAGGCCCTTACTGCCTTCCCCAGCCCACCCCACAAACTCTGGACCCCTGAATCAGAGCTGAGCTATGCGAAAGGGCAGAGCACGGACCAAAGTCAGAGGGCCTCTGCTCTTTTCCTGCCCTGTGACTTTGGGTTATACACATGCCTCCTCCTTGGGGATGATGTGACATTTCATCAAGTCAAGCCATGAATAATCTTGTAGCTGAGAAAGGCCATGTGACTCATTTCTCATACATAAAATATAAACATTCCAATGGTACCATCAATTTCCCTTTTGTTTTTACCACCTTGCAATGCAAACACGATGGCTAGCACTTCAGCAGCTACCTTGGGAAGATGAGGTGATAGCAAGAGGGGAAAGATGAGAATTGCAGAGATGGTGAGATGGTGACCTTAATATTAGCAACCCACTGAACTAATGCTAGCAATCAGCTACCTCCACACCTGTGTGGTGTGTGTGTGTGTGTGTGTGTGTGTGAGAGAGAGAGAGAGAGAGAGAGAGAGAACATTAATCCTTCTTTGTTTAAGCCCCCTCTTAATTAATTTTTCTGTTGTTTGCAGCCAAAGGCATTCCTGTCTGATATAGTAAATAATGTGTCAATAAAATAAAATCACTTCTCCTTCTCCAACACCCCATTGGCTTTTTACATTGAAATCTGTGTAGTGTAGATTTTTTAAGTTAGAGGGTTAATCCGTTTAACCCCCTTTCACCCTCTTTTCAGCAGCTCCTGTAGCCCCTTGAGAGCAGATGCCACATTGACATTTACATCCCTAACGATCAACACCACAGTTTCCGTATAACTGGCATTCGATTAAAGATGGGCTTCAGAAGGTCCACGGAGGATAGTACAGTAACTACCATTTATTGAAGGACTAATACATGCAAAGCATTTTCCAATTCTCATTTCAGACACATCGTATCTCTATTGAGCAAGTATTTTTACCCTCATTTTACAGATGAAAATCCTGACGCTCAGAGAGTTTTCGTAATTTGGCCAAGATCCTGAAGCTCATAAATGACACAGAGAAAACGTGAAGCCCCAGTCTCCCAGCTCCCCTATAGACATCTTCCCTGTGAGACAAACAATTCAGACTGTAGAAACCACCCCCGGGGACTTTTTCTCGTTTTAGCATCTGAAGATACCAACACACCCAGCCAGGTGCCGACCTGCATTGAAGCAGGCTCTGCATTAAACCTTCAAAGAGTCTAGAATTCGATCCCCGGAGGGTTCAGAGGATGATGGCTTTGGGCTATTGAGAAAGTGGCCCTTTCCACTCTCTCATTTGCATGCTGGATGTCTACTGAAAGTTGCTATGGTGATCCGTTTGACCAGAAGTTTCCGCTGAATCATCCCAACACATATGAAAGCAGAGATGTGGTTTGGGGGCCCAGAGCCCCGTAGCCGGGGGAAACGTCTCCATCTTTCACTTGTGACTCACTCGTGGTCACGCGTAGGCCCAGCTGGGACGAAAGCGAGACCTCTGGGACAGGTGTCGCTCCCTGGAGACATTTTGCACAGCAGGGCACGCTGCAGTCGCCTCTGGGGACCTGAAGACTGGAGAAGGAAAGGTGGGAGCCGGCACCTGAGCCACGCCCTGCTCTGCAGGGTCATTCCGGGGCTCAGGTCTTCTAAGCAAATGTCTCGGTTTGGAGACCCCTAACAGCAGAGGCTGCAGTAGGCACGTGGGTTCAGGTAGTCTATCTGAGAGCTGATCTGAGGAAGCAGAAGGGAAGGGGATTCTAAGCCAGCGTGAAGGGAGAGCCTTACCAGTGTGCTATCTGGGTGCTGCCGTGGGCGCTGCCCTGCTTTAGGATCTGTTTCTAGAGTAACTGGTGACAGAACACAGAGGCGATGGAGCATGGGACTCCATGTTCAGGTCTCCTGTGTTCAGGTCTCCTTCTGCTTGCCACAGTCCTGGTTGTAGGCCTTGATTTCCCTATGCACAGAAATGTAGAAAAGAATACCTCGTGTGGCTTAAAAAGAAATCATGTACACAGTGGAAGCTGGTGCAGGGTCTAGCACGTGGCACATCTTCAGTCAGCTTTGCTTTCTCTCCTTCTCTTCACCAAAGAGATTCGGCTAAGTGATACTGCTGCTCTTGGCTGAGAACCAGGCTTAGGAGCTTATGGACAAACAGTTAATTTAAAAAATGTATAGATATGGGACTTCTCTGGTGGCACAGTGGTTAAGAGTCCGCCTTCCAGTGCAGGGGACACGGGTTCGAGCCCTGACCCTGGAAGGTCCCACATGCCACGGAGCAACTAAGCCCGTGTGCCACGACTACTGAGCCTGCGCTCTAGAGCCCGCGAGCCACAACTACTGAGCCCTCGTGCCACAACTACTGAAGACTGCGCACCTAGAGCCCATGCTCTGCAACAAGAGAAGCCACCACAATGAGAAGCCCACGCACCGGAACGGAGAGTAGCCCCCGCTCGCCGCAACTAGAGAAAGCCCGCGCGCAGCAGCAAAGAGCCAACGCAGCCAAAAATAAAATTAATTAATTTAAAATATAGAGAGAGAGGTAGAAAGAGATTTAAACATAGCTCTCAAAAATTGCCCTTTATTTTGAAGTAAACGTTATTTGACATTTGATCTTCTTTTGAATTATGTCCTGTGTAACTAGATGAACTTGGATATCTTTAGAGATAAACAATGTAGATGCATAGAGGAAGTGGTGCCTATTCCCTTTTATTTTTTTGGCTACTTGGAGACATTTAAAGGATGCTACTGGTTGGGGTGCAGGGGTCTGTGTGGAACAGAATGTGGAAAAGTTGTCAAAGGAAAAACTCCAGGGCAGTCTGTTGGAGTGCATTAAAGGAGAGAGATTGCCGTTCAAATGGAGGTTGAGCTTTAAAAATTATGGAACACATTACATTAGCAACATGTTACATTTCTGTGTGGAAAGACAGGTACAACTTTTCTAGAAAATACTTTGTCATATCAGCACCCTAAAATACGTATACCTTTTAGCCTGCATATTAGTCAGGGTTCTTCAGAGAAACAGACCCGATAGGATATGTATATATTTCCTGTTGGATAGCTATCTGTGTAGCAATCAATCAATCAGTCAGATAACCTGTAAGCTGGAAACCCAGTAAAACTACTGGTGTCATTGAGTCTGAGTCCAGAGGCCTGAGAACCCAGGGAGCCGACTGTGTAGATCCCAGTCTGCAGGGATCTGGGATCCCTTTTTTTTTTTTTTTAATTTTTTAAAAACATTATTTATTTTATTTATTTATTTTTGGCTGCATTAGGTCTTCATTGCAGTGCGCGGGCTCGGGCAGTGAGACAGGAAAAAAAAAAGGGGCTGGAGGAGCAGGGGTGAGGGAGGTGAATCCCTCCTTCCTCTGTCTTTTGTTCCACTAAGGCCCTCAACGGAGTCACCGATGCCCGCCCACACTGGGGAGGGCGTCCACTTTACTGAGTCCACAGGTTCAAATGCTGAGCTCCTCCAGAAATATCCTCACACCCAGAAATAGTGTTTCATCTGGGCACCCCACGGTCAGCCAAGTGACACGTGAAATTAACCATCACAGCCTGGTAACCCCAGTTTGTTCTCTCTGTCTTACAGAGATGATCAGATATTCAGAAATGTACAAGGGTAGAGATCAAAGCAGTATGTATCTTACTGAAAAATTGGAAAGTATTTGAAAGTCCCGCAATAAGTGAAGTAAATTCTTTTATGATCATGTGATTAAGTGCTATGTGGGCAGTAAAGACACTCTTGCCAAGAGTACTCAGTGATCAAGGAAAGCGCTGATGGTAGATTATGAAGTGAAAAGTTGGTTAATAAAGAGTCCATCTGATTCCAATTCTCTTAAACATACCCTTTCATCATACAATTGCATATCTGTGTATATATTTTTGTATACTCATTACCCAAAGAATAACTTAGGGGAAACACTATTAACAACCACTGTTTCTAAGTGATTCTCTTCCCTTTATTCTTGCTCCTTTTTGTACTTTCCAGAGTTTCCATAAGGAGTAGAAAACACTGTCATAATCAAAGAAGGAAACGATAGCTGTGATTCCTAAAGATGCTGAAGAAGTCAAATGTTCGATTCCTGCTCCTTTTGCTTCGGCTTCATTTCTCTTCAGAATACAGCCGGATCTGCCCCCGGAAGGTGAGGGTCAGGTGAGCTGCAGGGCCACGGGGGTCAGGACACCGCGCTTTGATGTGTGGCCTCCGCCCCCCAGGACAGAACAGTGTGGAAGGCAGCCATCAGAGGACAGCGTGGAGGGTTGGTTAGTCTCCCCAGGACTCAGGGGTGTGACATTACAGTGCCTGCCGTCGCTCTGGACCTTTGGGGGTGCGTCCTTGACCGTGCAAAGAGGATGAAAACTAGAAGCTCCCCGCATCCTAACCTCCTGACCAGCTGTGTTTTCTCTCCTTTGATGGCACCTCCATTTCCACGTCCCTCCCCCTTTCTCTATGGCCCCCACCTGTGTCGTCCAGCCGGCTCCCAACCCACCGGTCTGCTTCCACTCACACCAACATCTCGTGTCCCTCACTGACAATGCCAGAGGGTCACAGAGAGAGAGTGACCACGATTCCACCCACCACAGAGATTTGTGAGACCCACAAAAACATCAGAATTGTAGTCAGGAGACCGTGTGGTTTGAATCTCTCTCTCTTGCCCTGCCAAGATGTGTGGGCTTGAAAAGGTATCTTCACGTCTCTGAATTTTAGTTTCTTCACCTGTAAGCAGCCTGCCGCCTAATCGTGAGAATGACGTGAGTCTATTAGCCTCAGTAATCACGAGAGCTGCACAACAAAGACCGCAAGCTTCGCGACTTGAAACAACGCCCACGTATGATATCGCGGTTCTGTTGGTCCGAAGTCTGAGTGGGCTGAGGCAGGTTCTCTGCGGAGAGGCTCATACAAGGCCGCAGTCAAGATGCCGGCTATGCTGAGCTCTTAATTGGAGGCCTTGGGGGAGAATCTCCTTTCAAGCTCATCCAGATTGTTGGCAGAATTAATTTCTCTGTAGCTGTGGGGCTGAGGTCCCCATGGCTTTTGTCAGCTGGGAGCCACTCTCTGTTGCTGGGGAGCACCCACCTTCCTTGTCACATGCTCCCCCCCCGACCCGAAAGCTTCAAGCCAGCGACAGCCGGCCCAGTGCTCCTTGGGCTTTGAACCTCTCCGACTTCCCCTTCTGCTTCCAGCTGGAGAAAACCCTCTGCTTTCAAAAGACTCGTGGAGATTGGAGACAATGGTGCGTGTAAATCGCTTAGAACGGTGCCTGGCATTTAGTAGATCAAGGTTGACTTCAGGACAAATACAGCCCAGGATACCTAGAAGGTTCTGAATTGGCTTTTATGGAATAAATGAGTGCATGAATGGATGCAGGAATGAATGAGCAAATGGGAAAAAAAAAAAAAATCAGCTGTGAAGTTGAGTTCCTATTTTGGAGGGCGGAGGCAGTCAGCGAGGGACATCTCCAACAGCGAGGGGACCTTCTGATATGAATTCCATCAATCCACCCAAAGTGAGGATTCAATTAATACAGCTACTAAATAAGGTTTCGTCCTGCAGCGTGAGAGTACCTGGGGTGCGTCATCTGAGCCCGGCTTCTCTGCTTGGAAAGCACCCCGCTCCGAGGCCCCAGGAAGTCTTACTGGCAATTACAGCCAAAGGAGCAAAATTCTGTCTCTAGGCACTTCCCCCCCTTCAGCTTCAAATTGCTCTTGGGATCGTTATGTTTCTCCCACACGGGCTCTGCGCTAGGCGCCCAACTCACTTCCTACCGCAGGAGGGGCAAGGACGTGGATTCTGGATCTGGCCAGAGGGAGTCTGGTGATTCTACCCTTAAAGTCTCAAATCCTTGTCATTTTAGCGGTCATCGGAGCATCAATGAATCATTACATCGAGCACCTCCAACACCTGTGAAACACCTCAGGTACCAAAGAGAAACGGAACAAAGATGAAACCTGGTGTCTGATGGGCAGCAGTGCACTTGGTAAACTTACAAGCACCCCTGGCTTCCAGACCTCCTCCAAAGGGCTTTTATAGCTTCCTGAAAATGCTTTAGCACTGGGTTTTAATTAAACATTTAATATGCATCATGCAAATTTATTGATTCTGCCAGGGGGAAAAAAGATGAATCTTGTTATTTGGACATCTCCAGCTAAGAACACTCATATTTTCCCGGGGGTTACTAATGGAGCCCCTGGCTGCATCCAAGTTTGAACAGCACTGCGGGAGCTGGGGAACATCCTGGTCTGCAAAGTCACCGGCTCAGAGCAATTGTGTTCATTTCAGCTTCTCAGACTCAGACCTAATACTAAGGATGTAGGGAGATGCAAGCTGTTGAAATTAACACGAAGCACTTAAAATGGACCCCTTTGTCATAGGGTCTCCTTCTGTGTTCATGTCTTCCCCCTTCCCATTACTCCAAAGTTCTGATCTCTGAAAAGGATGATCCAAACTACCCGGAAAAATACTTTGAGGAAATGGCTCAGTGTACAAGATCATACTATCCTGGGTCAGGATCCCACTAAGTTGGTATTTATTGACCAGAATTTTGGAAGAGTGAGGAATCTGGCATATCAAATATTCTCATTTACTGCAGATCAATCACAAACTCTTTTGATTTCCAACCTTGTTGTTCAGATTTCTTCTAAATTCATATAGGCCTCATGTCCTGCCTTATTAAAGGGGAATTGGCTAAAACTCTTTGGTAAGGAGGGGTTGGAAATACCCTTGGCTGGTCTCAGCTCCAGTATTCATTGAACAAGACAATAGCCATAGAGTAGTGGTTCTCGGCTGGATGATTTTTTCCCCCAAGGGACCTTGGCAATGGCTGGAGATATTTTTGGTTGTTACAGCTGGGGAGGTTTGGGGGGCAGGAGTTGCTACTGGCATCCAGTGCATGGAAGCTAGGGATGCAGAAACGTCCTACAACACGCAGGATAACCTCCTCCACAAAGAATTATCCATCCCCAAATATCAATAGTGCTGAGGTCGAGAAGCCCTGATACAGAGGCTAAAAAAAAGGTTTGTAATACAGGCTGATATATTAGATGGTCATCTAGAAGGAAAGATTTAAAACAAACACACAAACAAAAAGCCTTTGTTACGAGAATCCAGCGGGGAGTCTGCCATCAACCAGCTGTGTGGCCTTGAGCAAGTTAATACATTGAATATACTGAATTCGATTTATTTACTCATTCCTTTGGGCAGCTTTGTGAAGAATGGCACGTTCTAATCTAAGCAGAGGAAACAAAATAAATGGTATGTGCAAAGGCTCAAGGCGGGAGAAAGCCAGTGTCCGAGGAAGGCCAGAGCGACTGGACAGTCATCAGCAGGAGGAAGGGAAAAGCAGGGGAGGTGCTTGTGGACCTTCCGGCCCCGAGCTGTGCTTTTATTCTGGGTGTCGCGAGCCAGCTGATGCTTTAGTATCAGCTGACTGGACAGGACCTTGTCTCTCTGGTTCCCTGGTTCCCCATACAGGCTCTAAAAGTGTCTGCTGGGTGAGAGACTCTGCTCCCTGCTGCTGTGGTGAGGAGACCTGGCCGGAGGGAGGGGACAACACTGGGGGCAGAGAGACCACTCAGCAGGCCACTGTGTGGTCCCACAAAAAAGAAGACAGCGGGGCAGTTCCTCACACAGTTAACGTTGTGCCACCATGTGACCTAGCAATTCCACTCCTAGGTATGGACCCAGGAGAAAGGACGCCATATGTCCACCCAACACCTTGTACACAACTGCTCATAGCAGTGTTATTCGCAGTGGCCAAAGGGTGGAAACAACCCAAATATCCGTCAGCTGATGGATGAAGCAACAAAATGTGGTGTATCCATACAACGGAATAGTACTCAGCCATAAAAAGGAATGAAGCACCCACATACGCTACAACGTAGATGAACTTTGAAAACATTAAGCTAAGTAAAAGAAGTCAGACACACAGGACCACATTTTGTATGATTCTGTCTATATGAAATGTCCAGAAGTGGCAAATCTATAGAGACAGAAAGGAGATGGGTGGTCGCTGGGGAGAAGGGGGAATGGAAAGTGATAATAGGTACAGGTTTGGGGGGGGGTGTGATGAAAATGCTCTGGAATTAGATGGGGGTGGAATTGCACAAACTTGGATACTAATGGTATTTGCGGGGAGGGAAAACCAGCAACGGAGGCTGGCTGCCTGCTTTCTCTGTTGCAGCTGCGGCCGCTGCTCTGATCTCTTCCTTACGGGGTCACATTCAATAACTACATGACAGTTTTCCCCACATCTACCTCTTTCTTCTTATTGGAGTGTAAGCTGCGGGGGAGGAAGTGCTTTGAGGAAGGCAATTTGCTTTTTCAGAGGAATCAGAAAACTTTCTTCTTGGTGACCTTTCCACCCTTCATTGCCAGAAGAGTTTGACCTCTGACCGCAGGGATGCTGGGGGAACAGGCTCCGGACAATAGAGCATTACAAATGCAGTGCGTTTTTCATGGACAAGATGTGGTACATTTTAGTGCAGATGGCTTTCCCCAGGTATTAGTCAATGTACAGAGAGAGAATGGTGGTGCTTCCTTTACTTTGAAACTTATCTTAGCCTTTCCTACACAAATAAGTGTCATTTCTGGTAAAGTCAAAAAGAGAAAGAACATTCTTTTGTGCTGATGAGAAATGAAGATAAAAAAAAAAAGAAAAGCACGACTCAGGAACACAAAACTCATGGACATTAGGCATCAAGTTCTCATGTCATTTTGGGAGGAAGGGTGAGTTTCAATCTGGTTTTAATTATGCTGACAGATAACAAACACACTTCTGTCCTCACAGGAGTGTTCAAGGCTGGGGCAGGAGGCGACTTTCCTCATCGGACCCTGAGACAAGGAGATGCCCTCTGGCCCCAGAGGCCCCCCAAGAAAGACAGTCGCTTATGTTCAGAGCAGTAGCTAATTTCCAACGTTACTGACTTTTCATTCATGCAATAAAGCATATGCCTTTGGAGTTAAGAAAGGGATGAAGGTAAGATTCCATCCCTGCCCTCAAAGAGCTCACAGGTATATGGAGATAAAGACAGTCAATGATAAACTGTAGAAGTAGTATTCAAAGGGTAATATGAGGAGCATCCATTGATTAGGAGGTGGGTACACGATGTGGATTACCAAGGTGAGTGCATCGTCAAGATGCAACTGGCCTTTTATAGGGGCCCCGATAAACCATGCACTGGGGGTACTGGGAAGAGAAATAAGGGACTTGGGTCATTATTTTCTTGTCTTACGTTCAAACGTCATTTAAGGTCTGCACTAGAATCAAAGGACCTGGGTTGCTCTCCTGGGGTTTCTCAAGGCTTAGGTTAGACCTCCAGTCCCATCTTTCAAAGGCCAAGTGGTTTGGTGGCTCCATTCCCTCAACCAGGCAGCCCCCGCCCCTCCGGCGGCCCTGGCTTCCCATCAGGGGAGACAGACAGGAGGCGGGTCTCGATTCCCAGGCTCCCACCCCTCCCCACACGCCGTGCGCCCTCCCTCCCGCGCCTACCCGCCGGCACGGTCATCCTGGCTGCTTGTGTGGAAGGCTGTTCACCACACACTGCTCTGAGCCCTGGCTCCTTGCCCCGCAAGGCTCCCCTGCAGCCCCCTGGGGACTCGGCACCCGCGGAGGCTCCGCTGCCCAGGCCGCTGCCCTCACACACCACACGTCCTCCTTTCCCAGGCCCTGCTGCCCTCCCCTCCTTGGCTGGTGGCCCATCATGGCTGACCGACAGCGGGTCTATGACTTTCTTCCTTCCTTCCCCGGGCACAGACAGGGTGGAGCCATCGGGGGGAGAAGCCGGGCTGTGGTCTCCCTCTGCATCCCCAGGGCCCCTCCCAGCTTCCTGGTTGCTGGGCTCACAGGCGCAGAAGAAGCTGGCGAGCCATCCCATCTGAAAAACCAGCTTGCTACCAGCAAACGGAACAACTGTAATGCGGAAGTCACCAGGAGAGTAACCAGGGAACCCTGCGGACTGTGTCATCTCCACGGAGTGGCTTTGCCCGGTCCTCTCAGGCTCCAAGCCAATTAGAGCCTGGCTAATTAGTTCTGGGCACTGAACAGCATTTGTGGGGGAAAGGTCACTTTGGTATACGATTTTCTTTCTCTCTAAGGCACAGAACTTCCTCCAAGGAGCAGGCACTTACCTCTGGTTCTCAGAAGCGAAGAAGCCAAGTCACACATTTCTATGAATTCTCTCAGAAAGCCAATGATTAGTAATAATAGCAGTAGCCGTGTCTATTGATTGAGCACAGGTGCCAGACTCTTCACAGATCTCGCCTGTAAGGGAGCCTCCCAGAGATGTGGGCAGCTCCTTTCATAGCTAAGTCAACAACATCTCAGCAAGGACAGTGAAGAGAAGCAAGGTCGTCTCTTGCAGAGCACCGGCCGGAAGTCCGGAGGGTCAAGGTCGTGCCCCGGCCCCAGCCGACCCAACGTGGCTTGGGCAAGACTCGTCTGCCAATGGACATTCCAAAGCACTGTACCAAAGAGTTATTAACTGCAACGAGAAGGCACACGCTGGTGATTTGATTGAAATGAAGTGTCTGTACAATGCGAGTGGTACCCCCAGCAGATATACTGACACCTCCCAGTGCATCCCAAGTTGGAAATCAGAAGGAAACCAGTTTCCGGCTGCTGCGTGCCAGGCACCGTGTGGGGTTACTGCCACACGCTTTGACATAGAAACAGCTTTGAAAAACGTGGGTGCACATATAGACGCGTAGACTTCTAAGACATACTTCTGTGCTCCTCTGATGTAGCTCTGACATTTTACGGAGAAGAGACTCCCCTAAACATCTTATCCAGACAGGTTAGTTAACACAAGGTATAAGTACTGACTCCCTAGAGCAATGAGAAAAGCCCTGCCTCTGAGTGTGTCGTCAGTAATTATTCCCCAACCCCGTAAGTTGTGCAGGGGTATGTGGCCTTGACGACTTCAAACCACAGCACGGTGCCCCGACTCGGCTGTGCCTGAAGACAACATAAGCACAGTTTTAAGCCCAGGCTTTATTTTTTCTTGTATCTTCTCTCTTTCCATTTGTTTAGTATGTGTTTTCTCTTCCCAACTTCTGTTGCGTAACATCAGAATTTGTGCCAAACCTCTGTAGACAAGGATTTGGCAATAGGGGCGCTTGCAGTGAGACTCTGTCACTGTATTTGGAAAAATTAGGTGACCAGCCAGTTGGATTTTGTTTCTAATAGCTGGGAAAGATCATCACAGTGCAGAATGATGGGAGTGTTCATTCACGGGCACCAGTGAGCTCTAAACTGGGTTCAACGAGACACGCCTTTAAGCCTTCAAGGGAATATTCCATTCCATCCAAATCCATTGGTTCTCACAGAACCACAGGAAACCAGTGAGAATGACCCAGTCAAGGTGCCCTCCTGTCTGTGAGATGTGTCCTGTCACGATGAAGCTTCAGGAAGCCTCAGCAAAGTTGTTCAGGAGAAATTTTCTACTTCCCCAGGTGAAAGGGAATAATCACAGGGAATTCCATATGAAGTAGATTCCCCTAGAGAGATGAACAGATAGATACCAATGAGGGGAAAAGTAATATATTTTTTTCATTTCCCTGAGATTTTCATTTCTGGAAAACCAAAACACGAAATATACTAAGTGCCGGGGGCACGAGGGGCCTATCCACAGCAAGGGTTTACCTTTCTGTCGGATTTTCCAGTTTTCTTACTTAGAGCAGGAGCGTAATAACACTGGTTCCTTTTGTCACCAATAAGCTGTCCTACGTGTATTCTAAGGGGCTGATGTTATGTCTAAGAGCCAAAGATGCGTTTGTGCCTGGAAATTGCCTCAAAGAAGTTCAAAAAGCTACTGCTTTGGGCTTCCCTGGTGACGCAGTGGCTGAGAGTCCGCCTGCACGTCTGGAGCCTGTGCTCCGCAACAGGAGAGGCCACAACAGTGAGAGGCCCGTGTACCGCAAAAAAAAAAAAAAAGCTACTGCTTCCATGGCCTTTCCCATGTCCCCTGGAGCTACTAAAAGAAATTTGCACTCTGTACATAAAAATGGGTGGATGGACAGACGGATGGGTGGATGGATAAATGGACAGGCAGATGAAATGATATATGGATATGGATGAGTAACAGGGTTTGTTATCCCTCTGTCTACCCAACTAACACAAAATCTGACACAGGACAAGCTTTCAGTGAGTAAAGACCTGACGCTTAAGGATTTCAATGACGGTCAACTGGTCACTCCCTTTCAAGACTTGGGCTGGGGGAAAACTCAGAGTCATCTTACATACGTTGATATTTGTTCATTCATCAAAACCTAGGTGTCTTCATGCATCAGTGATGCACGTGAGTAGGTCCTTGAGGATCCCTGCTCCTCCAAGACAGTTTCCAAAAATCCTAACAGTAGTAGGATGAAAAGCAAGAGTGGGCTAGCGACCAATTAAAGAAAACTTGCCTTCTTCCAAGTCTGTCATGAGAAAGTCTAAAGAAAAATCCCAACACTCTTGCTGACGACCTCCAGTTCCTTGCTCAAGGCACTGTCCCCATCAGGGGAGATGTCCCCATGGCCTGAATCACCACGAGTCCATTTTCAAGTGCATTAACCTCAGAGCCCCCATATTCATGGAAAGATGATGCAAAAGGAATAAAATTAGGACCAAAAAATAAAAGTCAGGTGTACATGTTTCATTCTGCAGCGAAATCTACCCTTCCCTTAATGCAGGTTTCTGTTTGAATCACCCGAGGGGATGGTATTTTAAGGCCGTATGATGCCAGAGTTACCACTGAGATCTCCACAGTCCTCTCTAGAGGAAAAGTTCCCTTAAGGTCGTACGTTGTTAGTGCTTCGTGCCTGGAGATGTTTTCTGTCCCTCTTGGCCAAACCCTTTCTAGACAGTATTCTGAGTCTCCTCCTCTCTTACTGTGGTAGAATTTGAGTCTATTCTGCAAGCTTTCACGTAGGAGCGCCTAGAAGTTAGGTGCTGGTATGAGTTAGCTTGAACCAGGGCGCAGAGGTGAAACATAAGACCCTTGGATCAAGATGCTCTCAGCATCGTGAGGAGAATAGAGAGTAAACAGGCAATCACAAAAGTCTAGCAGGAGAGACCATTGTGATGGAAATGGTGTGCCTCCTGACCATGTTGGTGGCGATCATACAAATCTACGCATGTAATAAAATTGCATTTTATTCCTTTCAGCTGCATGTGGGTCTACAATTGCCTCAGATTTTCAAGAAGTCAAATATATATGGATAATTGCAATGCACAGTCCCAAAGGCCGTGCTGGCGTTGGAGCATAGAGTGGAAACGTACCGTCTCACTGTGATTAGGAGAAGCAACCAGAGAAGGACCTCATCACAGGTAAATGTGAGGACGTGGGAAAGGCCATGCAATGTAGACACTGGCCCGTGCCTCCCCCGCAAGCCGGCGCTCCCGCCAGTCTACTGCTGCCTCTCTTTTAGACCTAAAAGAATGTCTGCTTTAATCTGTAGCAGTCTCCCTTTCTCCCCCTCTCTTTCACAGGTCATTCACTTGTCAAAGAACCTGGAGCCTTTGTCTTACAGAATTGCCCATATTCTGGATTTGAATGGTTACTTCTTCATGGGGTCTGGATCATTTCTCTCTCCGCTGTTATCTCCTGATAGTGGTAATTTATCATCACCATCACCATCGTCACCATCACCACATTGTACCAAATCATCCCAGCATTGTTGGAAGGGTGAGAACGTAGGCAGTCGAGTGCTACTTCTAGAAGTCTAATGCCCCTATCGTGTAACTTTAAACGAAGCCTTTCTTCCCCACGACGTAGAACACGGACCACGATCTCATGTTGGTGCTCAAGCTTGGGGACTGATTCCCGTACAAAGACAATGCACGGACTTGTGCAATGGCCAAGAAAGGCCGGCCCTGCAGCTGCATTCAGAGCAGGGAGTTTCTGGAAACAGACCTTTCTGACGGTAAGTTCCAATAAAGCTGGTGGGTGTTATATTAATGACTAGGCTCTTAGTCACCTCAAGGGAACTGAGATCAGGTGACACCAGGACGGTGGAGGGAGGTGAGATATTCGCAATTTGGACCGCAGATGCGAACATAATTTCACGGGCATTTTCATAATCGTTCTTATGCTTCGATTAAATGCGTCACATACTGCTGGCCTACAAGCTGGGAGGCAGGGGGTGAAGTGAGGAAATCCAAGGTTATTTATTTGCCTTAAAACCTATGCTCTGAGACGGCCGGGAGAGGGGATATACCTCATCTTTAAAACACAAAATCTTCACTTCTCAGCTCAACCTGTGCACTTTAGCGCTCAAAAACAACCCACAAACAGACCAGTGCATAATCGTGTGTAGCAGACACCAATTCAGGGATAGTAACAGAGACTTCAAAAGTGTCAAAGGCACTTTTATAAAAGGAGGGGAAAAGATTAAGTACAAAAGCCCTGTACCATTTGCCTTTGACCCTTAACTCCTTTTCCACCTGCCTGTAAAACAGACTTCCTGGGGTCTTTTCCACCTGAAGGGTCCAATAAGACAGTCTTAGGGACACACAGGGTCAGCCTGACATCTCTAAACACCCACTACCAGTGGAAGCCAGAGGGCTATAGGCCTAGAGATTTCAGCTCACCTGATCTTTCCTCAAACTTTCTTCTTTTGATTATCTGTTCTTCTTGGGTGACCGAAACAAACATAGGAATGTAATAATAATGATGTTGCCATGGCAGAAACAGGGTTCTCAGATCAAAGGATTCTCACTGTACTCATAGAATGACTCATTTGGTCAGCTGGTCAACCCTTATCCAGTACCCGTGATGCTCCGTGCTGGTGATGGGTGTTCTCGGGACGGATACAAAAATGGGCCACTTTCTTGGGAATTCCCTGGCGGTCCAGTGGTTAGGATTCTGAGCTTTCATTGCCGAGGGCCCAGGTTCAATCCCCGGTTGGGGAACTAAGATCCCACAAGCCGAGAAGCACAACCAAAAAAAAAAAAATGGACCACTTCCCAATGCCTTTCCTGATATAATATATGATATGATTTTACATACAACGCTATATTATATTATATAATGCTATACTAACTTATATGATACTATGCTATACCACATTACATTATATAGTATCTCACAGTATCTGTTATTTGTCTATGTGTTTCTGGTATATCTCCCTCTCACAATAGATAATTAGATGGTTGGAGCATGAACTTTGCCGCCATGCTGGATTCATACCTTGTACCCCTCACCAGCTGAGAGACCTTGGAAAACCTCCGCCACGTTTCTGTACCTTAGCTTCCTTCTCAGCTACACGGAAATAGCAGCACGTATCCCTGAGGGCCGTTGTGAAGAGCGAGTGAGCTAAAGCCAAGGGCAGGGCCCGGGTGAGTACCGCGTTCGTTCTGGCTGCCGGTCATGTTGTCGTTTGGTGAGGGGCCCCATGCTGTGGAGGACACCTCCTCCGTCACACGCCGTGATTTCCCGTGTCCCTGCCCGTCCAACCCCTGTGGCAAAGGGATGAAGTATGCTCACTGACTCAGACTCAGACTCACTTCCCGCGTCCCTGCCCACCCCATTTCTGAGTCTAAGTCTGAGTCAGTCAGCATATTTCATCCCTTTGCCACAGGGGTTGGATCGGGGTGGGCGGATAACCAGTCACATGAGCCAGACCACTTCGACCCCAGCCATGACTTTCATGTGCCCAACTGGGGACTCAGACCGACTCCCATTGGACCTGCTGGAGCTGGAGCTGGAGCTGCTCCCACAGGGAGCCCTGGCCTGGAGTCCAGGCACAAGAGGCGTGAGGAAGCCAGTGCCAAGGACATCGTGTGGCTCCTGCCTGCAACCAGCTCTGTTCCTGCACCTTTTGGGCACGTGGGCCCATAAGGTCCCTTTCTCCTTAATTCAGTTTAGGTCACAGTGTTTTCACCTGCAACACCAAGAGGGCCAATAGTTGGCGCCCCAGCATGTGCTGAAGACCAGGACTGGAGGAGCACGTAAAGGACTCAGAGCTCACACGGCGAGGAAGTAGCAAAAGCCCGCCTTGAACCCGGTTCTGCCCAACCACTGCACCATGAGCTCCCAGAGCTCCAGAAGGCTCCAGAAGGGAGGTCAAGATGCACCTGCGGGGATCCACAAAGAAAAGGCGGGAGTCGGAGACGGCTTCTGGAAGCAGCGGCAATTGCATTAACGACCGACCTTTACTAAATGCTTATCAGAAGCCAGTCCCCGCGGTCAGAGCTCCATGGAGCCTTGCGCCAGAGCTGCGCCTGGGGGATGAGCACGATTTGGGCATGTGGAAATGGGGGCAGGCGGGCTTTCGTATTTGAAGATGACGAAAGAGTGTCCGTGTCCCTCGAAGCCCTGGGGAGGCAGCTGTGACTCCAGGCTGGAATGGGGCCTGCTTCGGTGGTGGCAGCCAGTGCTGGAATACGGGTGGCACACCTTGGTACACCGGCGTATTTAATCACTTCCCTCCGTTCATCCCGAATTCCATGCCAGCAAGACTTGCTGATTTCCACCTCAGTTCCAGGGCCCGCACATCTCCACCATGTTTCCACCCACTTCCAGCTCGGGAAGACGTAGGCCGATTAGGGAACAAGATAAGCATCCTGGTAACTGAGGGATGCGCCACTGGACGAGTGAGAGGTGAGTGTGGGGACTGCCTTGTTGCAACATAGCAGCCACCTGGCGCCTCTTAGAGGCGCGTTTTCTGGGACACTTGGCAGGACATTTTGTGTGCCTTAGCACTTCAGAAAGCAAGGCGAGGAACCGGAATGTTCGTGTAGTCACTTTCATTGAATAAATATGTATTGAGCACCTACTGTGTGCAGAGCACTGCAGTAGGCAAAGAAGCTGGAGACATGAGAGCTGTCGTCCTGGCTTCAGGACACTCACAGGGCAGGTGGGGAATTCACGTGGCACCATGAGGGCTCAGAGGCTGTGAGCACAGGGACCGGACACCTAGCCCACCTTGGGGCTAGTGGACTGGCACAAGGACTCAGGTAAGGCTTTTAAGAGGAAACCCAAGACCTGAAGAAGGATCAGAATTAGCCAGGAGATAGGACAGAGGGAAGATGGCGGGGGGGGGGGGGCGTGGAGTTCCAGGTGGGTGAAATTATACAAAATCTCAGGAGAAAGGGAAAGAAAGAGGAACTCTGCCAGGTTTGGGGGTGACTACAGCTTGAAGGCAGGAGCAGAAAAGACAGAAGGGAAAACGTTTCCTGAGACCCTCGAATGCACGAGGCGCCATAGATGGAAGCGGTATACGTAGGACGTCAGCACGGCCTTTGGCACATACTAAGAGATGAGTTCTTTTGAGCACTCACCAGGGGACTGGCTGACATATGCCAGGCACTGGGTACCCATGCTCATCGTGGTGACAAAAACTCTCTCCACCTTTGACCCAGGGGGAGAGTGAGGCCCAGAGCCTGGGTCAAACAACTTGCCCAGGTCTCACACCTGGGATGAAGCAGGATTCAGACCCCATGTCGGCCTGCTGCCAAAGGGCAGCATCTCCTGGCTCAGCAACCCTCAGAAATCCATGCTTTACCTTCTCACTGCTCGGCCACTAAAGGCTCTGAACATCGTTGACCTAAAAGCCCAGCATCGTTTGGCCTGGAGATGCAGGAGGCTTTGGCCCTCCCATTCTGCCCCACCTCACTGGCTCTGTCATTTTGACCTCAACGATATTGTGACCTTGTCATTGAGACCCACCAGTGCTTTACAGCATCACAGCATGTCAGCTCTGTCTGTGCATATGGGTATCTGGGCCATGCTTACCTAGCCCGTATTCAGCCTCAAAGGGCCGAGAACATTCCCTCCGTGCAATTCAGATTTGTTTTTTAACGTCTTCGTGCAGTCCAGCCCATTTTCAGCTTGAAAAATGAGCTGGAGAAGACAGGGAAGCTTTGCTGAGGTCAGAGGGTGAATCAGCAGCCTGTCTCCATGCCGACCCACCTTTCCCAACCGGCCAGCGCCCACATCACTCAGCCCCGATTAGCAGCTCCTCACAGAGCCTGGAGGCCACAGTCGGTGACGCTCGCCTGGAGAGTCCCCATCACTCCCCCGGAGCCCCGGTGACGATCCCCGGCCGAGTCTCCTGCGGCAGCCAGCACCACGTTCTCAGGCAGGACAGAGACCCCAGAGAGCAGGTCATAAATACCCACCGGCTCCTTCCTGCTTTCATGCCCAGCTTCCTCTGCAAGGCGGTGAGATGGGCACCAAGAAGGGCAGATTCTGCGAAAGCCTGCACATTGAGATCCTTTCAAGAGAGACCTGGGGGAACCAGTTGCAGCTCAAAGGTGGACACTGGCAACTCTGAACTCTTCTGTTCAAGAAAACGCCTTGCCATTGTAAAGCAATTATACTCCAATAAAGATGTTTTAAAAAAAAAAAAAAAGAAAATGCCTTGGAGCCTCCCGGCTTCAAAACTGGCATTGGGAAATGGCAGGAAAGGCGGTGATCGAAACAAAAAAAACCAGGGGGGAAGGAATGGATCGCTAAGAGGCTTTTATACACACACAGAGTTCTTCTGCTTAGTTTTTCTAGGTTACATCTATTTTTTATTAGTCTCTGAGGTCCCAGCTTTGGACAACTACTATATTTTGACAGGGCGAAGGTTTACAAAGATCAGGGCAGGTGAAACTTCAAACAGTTGTCTAAGTCATCTGCCATCTGCGACGGGGAGCTCTGTCTATACCAAAAAGAATGTAATTTTAGAATTGATTAGAAGGGTGGGTATAGGACATCCAGATGGGGTAAGTTAGTTTAAAATTATTCCAATTACCAAATAGGCCAATTCCTTTTTTTTTTCAGCTTTATTGAGATATAATTGACAAATATAAATTGTATATATTTCAGGCGCACAATGTAATGTTTTGGTATACGTATACATTGTGAAATAATTACCACAATCAAGCTAGTTAAAATATCCATTACGTCACATAGTTACTATCTTCTTTGTGTGTGTGTCTGTGTGTGTGTGTCTGTGTGTTAAGAGCACTTAAGATCTACCCTCTTAGCAAATTACGGTACTCAATATACAACACAGTATTGGTCACTACAGCCAACATGCTGTAGAATAGATCTCCAGAATTTATTCATCCTGCATAACTGACACTTTGTACCCTTTGATCAGCTTCTCCCCATTTTCCTCCACCCTTTAATCCCTCATAACCACCATCCTAATCTCTGATTTTGTGAGTGTGACCTTTTAAGTTTCTACATATAAGTGAGATCACACAGTATTTGTCTTTCTGTGTCTGGCTTATTTCACTTAGTATAATGTCCTCCAGATTCATCCATGTTGTCACAAATGTCAGGGTCTCTTTCTTTTCTAAGGCCGAATAATATTCCATTGTATATGTATACCAGATTATCTTTATCCAGTCACCTGTGGATGGACACTTAGGCGGTTTCCATATCCTGACTATTATAAATAATGCTGTGATAAATATGGGAGTCCAGCTATCTCTTTGAGATACTGATTTCATCTCCCTTGGACATATACCCATAAGTGGAATTGCTGGACCATATGGTAGTCCTATTTTTAATTTTTTTGAGAAACCTCCATACTGTTTTCCACAGTGGCTGCACCAACTGACATTCTTGCTAACAGTGCACAAGGGTTCCCTTTTTTTTGCCACATCTCCACCAACCCTTGTTATCTTTTGTCTTTTCAATAATAGCCATCCTAACAGGTGTGAGGTGCTATCTCATTGTGGCTTTGACTTGCATTTCCCTGTTGATTTGGTGATGTTCTAGGCCCATTTAATTTTAAATGTCCACTAGGGGACTCGAATAATCCAGTGGGTCATTTTGTATAATGGGGGGACTGGGAGGGGCCGTCTCTACTGGGTTGCTGAGGGGCTCGGTCCCTTGCAATGCTGTCATCAGCAGGTCAGGGGGAGGGTCAGAAGTGCAGAGGTCCCCAGCCATTTATACAGCTGCCCTGTGGCCTCATGTGGTGAAAGCCACTTCACAGGCACAGTCTCTGATCCTGCCCACCTCCCATTTTGCAGGTGAGGGGCCTGCTTCTGAGAGGTTAAGCGCATCAGTTTCATTTGCAGCTGGTGCAAAGGTGGGAAGCGAATTAAAACTAGTCGATGGCACATCCTAGATTCAAAGAGATTTAGGCAGCAGGGAACAGTCTTGATCGAATGAGATGGACCCTAGGGGGATCGTTGTATGTTTCCGTGCTTGGGCTCAAAAATGTTAGCCCACAAACAGAGGATAGGGGAAATACGAGGAGAAAAGGCCTGGGGCCGTGCTCGATGAGTCCCTGGTGTTATGTGTCTGCCGGAGAGGTCGGGAAATTGTGGTCTAGCATGGGGAGCAGACAGGCTGCAGCTCAAGGAGGCAGAGGGTGGGGCTACAGCCTGGGGATCCGAGTTCAGCTCTGGAACCTGAACCCTCAGGTGGGGGCAGCGACCTCAAGGCAGGGGCGCTTGAAATGCAGGCATATGTGGAAATGCTAAAGGCACTGACTATGTCTAGAAATGAAAAGGAAAGGCACGGAGAGGGTGTCATAGTGGTTGTCTTCTACTCCTCAGAGCCCCCAAAGGATGTAAGTGTATAATCCCCAAAGGATTTTGAGTGTATAAAATCAAGACTCATGTAGAGAAGAAGGGATATGACTTGATAGTAGACAAACAGACAAACAAACAAACAGCTCTCCTGACAGTCTCAGGACTGTGGGAAGATAGAAGGTAAAATAGGGAGGTAGTGAGCACCCAATCACTGGAGGTAATCAAGTACATGCTGTCAGGACCACACACGGACTTGTGTGGGTGCTACGTGCTTTGGTTTCCATGCACTCCTTCCACAAGAAAACTTAATTAAATTTTATGGCTTTGTTTATATACTGACAGAATCCATGCTAGATGATTTTCATTTCTTTAACTCTGATTTTAGAAGAAATGAAAATGTTTTCCTGGGCCCCTCTCCGAAGTGAATTCTGCCAAAGAACAGAGGAGTGCCCCAAGCTGCTTTTTGAGATGGTTAGGGTGCGTGTGTTGCCAGGAGCATGGCGTGAAGCATGGCGTGCCTGCTACGATTCCATTCTGTAAAGAGTGTCCACCCGGACCCCAACTGTCATAGATGGTCACACCTGAGACCACGATTAGGGGACCAGAGTGGAGATGAGGAATTGTGGTTCTTTTGTTTGATGTCCTCCCATTTCCGTCTTGTTCAAATGTTTATATTTAACCAAGAGCATGGATCGCTGTTTATAAAATGACAAAATAAGAATACTGGCAAAAGGTCTATAAGTTGGACTTTCATTTTTATTGGGGGTTAGGGGCGGGGATGTTTCACTCAGTTCTCTGTTCAACCAGCAACACTGCCATGATGGATAATGCCGTGAGGGTGTCACTGGGCGAGTTTGGTGTTTTCAGTGCACAGAACAACACGCGAGAAGGTTCAGCAAAACCCATGATGCAACCAAGAACAAAGATACAACACAGGCCACAAGGGATCTCTTCTCTCAGGTCCAGCCAAACAAACTGAGAAACACACAGATTGAGAAATCGCCTGCATCAGCGCACTCTCGCAGTCAGCACACACGTATTTAAGTTTGGTTTGTGTCTTCTAGAGCTCCAGGTTCCAGCTCCCAGGCCGAGTGGCTGCTAAATGCCTCTGGAACAGGACCTAAGAGTCACCCCAGACCCAGGGGGAGGAAGGAGAGTGACCAAAACTCTACAGAGGCAGCACGACCACCAGCCCGTCCCCTGGGTTCCCCTGCACAGAAGACACATCCTGAACAGACACTGTCCCAGTATCAGGTTCGTTTCTTTATTCCTGCCTTTTTAAAAAAAAATCAGTTCTGATTTCAGCACAGTAAATCTTTGAAGGGTTGAATGCTTTCGAGACAAGTTCCCTGCGTGGTACAGCCATGAGTAGGATCAAAAAGGGTAACAATGGAATGGTGAATTGCAAGTGGTTCCTAATTGAAGGAAAAGAAAAAGCTAGGGAGATGTCCATGGCCTGAAAAAAGGAAAGAAGGGGAAAAAAACCAACAAGCGTGGAAATCTGTTGATTTGGAATGGCGAGAGTAGGAAAGAGGCCCCATCATTTTGGATCTCCATCTGGTGCCTAAACCCCGAAGAAGTCCTTTCGTTCAAATGCCGGTGTGTGCACAGAGCTATTATCAATCACGTCCTGTCTGCCAGGCCACACTGGGTGTCTGTCGGGTGAGGGAGGGAGGAAAGCTGGAGGAAATCTGGGAGGCTGTCCCGGGAATTCTCACTTGAGAAAACATCTGGCTTTTCCACATCTCTAGTGCAAAACAAACAAGAATTTTATTAAATGATGTGTATTGTGTTCTAAGGTAGAACTCTCTGACACAAACAAGCAGACAAAACAAACAAGACCCCAGACTCGAGCACTTGCTACCAGGGTCCTTCACAAAGGCACAGGTGACGAGTTGTGGGTTTTTTTTTCAGAATCCACTTTCCAGTAAACAATGTAAACAGTGTATGAAGACCCCAGACCCTTCTTCTGCCCTCGTCCCGCTGCCCACCCGCACCAGGCCTATACCCCCATCGAAATGATAACCCCCCCCCCAAAGAAACCTCCAGATGCCATTTGTCTACTTTTCGCTCTCTCCTCACGATTACTCCCCTCCTCTGATGGCCTGCCTTCCCCGAAACCAAACGTGAGCCGTTCTCTAACTGCACTGGAAAATCAGAATTTACTGTACATATGTTTGTGTTCCACTTAATAAAAAAAAACCTATATTTTAAGATAAACTTTGTTAGTAATTCATGAGGTAAGTGACTATTTATGCTAATCAGGCAGAAATATATTCTCAGGCATAATGCATTACATAAATTTGAATGTAAAATGTTCAATTATGAAGTAAATACAGGTAATGCAAATAATAAATTACCTCTAATAAAAATTATAGAAGATGTGTCTTCAAAGAGAGAGCGGCTTTAACTTACAACTGTGAATTGCTTAAAGAGAAAAGAATTAATAAATGCTGATTTACTCTGATGATTATTTAGCACATAATTCACCTATTCATAACGACTCCCAGTAATCAGACTGTTGTCTCACATTCTCCAATATGAGGCAAGACTGTTTCCTCAGCAATTTTACCCTTATCAGATTATCTCGTCTGATTCGATTAATTTTCGTCCATGAATCTGCTAACAGTGATTTCTGACTTACTTGCCCTGCTCACTAAAGACTGCTGAAAGGATTTTTCTCTAACACTACAGCTAGGAACAACACTCCATGCCTTATCATTCAGTTCCTCTGAACAACTCTTTTCTCAAATCGATTTAGTTGGTTTCAGAGTGAAACTCAGTGGACACTGGTTAGTTCTGCACCGTAAAATCAGCTCCTGGATAAAAAGAGTTCAGACACTACCCTTGATGCATCTTGTTCTTTTTAGATTATATATGTCTGATTCCAACATGATATACCTGAGTTGCTGTAACTCAGAATCAGGAAAACTATATTATCTTTCACTTTTAATCATTATAATTTGGACGTAAACAGGATTTAAAATAGTTTTTTTTGCAAAAAGTTATTATGTATGTACTGACATGAAACCAAAATTGTGTTTTTGATGTTACGGTTTCACAATCTCCTACGTGATCCGACCCATGCCCTCCTCCCTCCCGCAAATTCTTCTATAAAGATTCACTGCTTTCAGGAACCTGAATGCTACTGGTTTGAACTGGTCAATAATGACAAACGCATGGTTTCTAAATTACTCTGTATTGTTCTACAGAGATTACTAGAGTATGTATAGCAAGGGAGTATTAAGCAGTAAGAAGGCACAGTTCATATTGTATTTGGATTAGATTGGCTTGGAGCAAAGTGAAACAAACAATGTTAGCAAAGAAATCTAAAGAAATGTGGCCTGCTATAATTGTAGAGACTCAAAAACCTGAATAGTACTAATTAAAATGAGAGAGCTCAATTGTTACAAGAGAAACGCCACTAACAGAAGACTGTAAATGTTTAGACACCCCTGTGAATCACCAAATAATAAAGGAAAAAGGACAAAAATGAGAATTAAGTTATAAGCTTGAGGGCACCGCTGCTCCACGTCTAAAAAATAATTCGGATCTTCCTTTTTTTTTTTTTTCAAGAGAAAATGAGAGACTATAAATGATTCTGCAATGAGAGAAAAAAAAAGATACCCTGTCTGGTTTGACAGCAGTGTACAAAAGTAAACCATAAAAATGTGCAGATAATAATACATTTATCTGACCAAACATGGGTATTTAATATCTAGAAATGACACATAATTGCAACAATTAGGTGCATGGCCATGAATCTATATCTCATGGTCTTCCTCATTGGTGAACTTTGTTTATAAATGTTGTTTATTTATAAGTGTAGCAGTTTCAGTGTTCCTGACCAAAAATACTTTCATGAAAGGCAGGGATCGTATCTCACAGCTTTTACCAAAACTGTGATGCAAAAGGATTAAAGAAAAAAATTCTCGTAAAAACTGAATTACTTCTTCCTAAGCATGCTGAAATTCATACTTTACATGCAAAATATAAACTTCAGACATTTGTGGCTAGTGATTTTAAAAAGGCTTAGAAAAGTATTGCTATAGACAATGCTAATGACACGATATGTTTATGTAATTTAAGCAGTAAATTTTCCTCTGAATACATAAGCTGTAATCCCTTAACTTCATTACTAGGTGAAATACTGTTTGAGAGGAGGAAAGCAAAGGAATTCTGTTAGGTTGCATAAATATTGACATAATCTTCACTCTTTCTTCCCCAAACTGGTAATAGACATACCTCATTCCATCCCGACAAAGTACTCCCATAAAACCAAAACTACCCATATAAACAGCTTCTCTGCAGTGATGATGAAAAGAAAAAGTGCTTTTCTAGAAAACAGCAACAGTGCTGTCCTTTTAGGGTAACGATGCGCCTACAAACGTTTTGGGGAATCTCTCGTTAGGGATTCCAGGGTTTGCTGAAACCCAAGGCTGCCAGCATGAGAGAAATTAACACAAGTCTAATCTGGTGTATGAAGCCAATGAGTGACACCTAAGGTCTCGTTATAAATAGTAAAGTATGCTGTCCGGTGGGTGAGAGCATTCTGAAGTGCAGTGTTCAAGAAGCTGGCTTAATATATGACTAAGTGTCAGAAGTCAGGTTTTCTGAGAATTACTTTTCAGATAAACAACTTTATAGCACTGCACTTAATCTTACTTACTAGAGACATCTCATTTATCACTGAATTACAAGTAACTTTAATTCTATTGATATTGCCATAAAGCCCGTCGAAAATCCATCCTGGCACTTTTAAAGGGTTTGGGGCCCTGTTTGTTACATGGGATCCTCTTGCATAAGCCTCTCAGCCATAGTTACACTTGGAAGGCTCCTGGGTCCCCTGGCCTCTGTATTCACAGTCAAGGGGGGTGGTAGGGAAAAGTGATTCTCGCACCTGCCAGCACTGCCTTCAGCCCCTTTCCTAACAAAGTCGGGTTCTCCCACTGCAGTCAAACTAACTTTCTGTGCCTCTTTTCTCCTCCCACCTAGGGAAACCAGCTTCTTTTCATTTCATCAACAAAACTGGACACGGATCAATTTCAACTGACCTTTGCCGAAAGGTGGCGCTGTTGAGGTAAAAACCAAGTCGGTCCAACAATAGTTTTCACTCTTCGATCGTTTTGCAGGCTTTTCAGAATTTTTTTTTTTTAATGCACCGTCCTAGCGTCCCCCCCCCCGTCCCATAAAATAAGATAAATATGATTAACACCAAATGCATTTCATTAATTGGAGGAATCAACAGTCCAACATCCAAGAGGGCGGGCTGGTCTTTCAAACGCTGGGTCGGCTTCACGCACTCTTGCTTCCCCCCAAGTCAGTCTCGGCTTTTCCATCTGGTCTATCGCTTTAAAATCTTAGAAACAGAGTTGTTGGTTCTTTTTTCTTTTCTTTCTCTTTCCTTCCTTTTTCTTTTTTGCATAAGCTTTAGAAGGATCGGTCTAGAAAACTGAATAGTCAGTAGCATCCGCGACCCCGAGGGGGAGATGCGGCCCCCCACTCCACTCCACCCCACCCCCACTCTAGGTTTCCGGGCCCGTCCGAGAAACCGCCGTTTAAAATTTAACCCTTCGAGGGGAGCTGGCGAAGGCTGGGTGTTTGTTTTTTTTGTACCCCTTGTTCCACGCCACGATCAAGTCTGAAATAATTAAGTGAAACGTAAAAGTGCAAAGGGCGCGCGGGACCCTGATAAACAGGAGTCAGATTTCATAAGGGTGTGTGTGTGTGTGTGTGTGTGTGTGTGAGTGAGTGAGTGAGCGGGGGGAGAGAAATGAATCTCAAAGGCCAAACTCGGGCCGGAGTCGGAAGCCGGAGGGTGAGCCGGACTGACCTGACTCCGAGCTTTCCCGGAGTTAATTCGCGGAGGAGTTCGCTCCCCCCGCAAGGGCATGCGACGCCAGCGGGCATCCAGCCCCCGCGCGGAATGGCTCCCGAACAACTTAGTTCACCTCCTTTAAAAGAGGGTGATAAAGCGCGCTTTCTCTTTCCGCCGACTCCAGACCGCCCCGGCAGGCGCGCGGCGGGGCGACGTCCTCCGCGCCGTCTGGACCCCTGCACACCCGCGCGCGGCCACCGGGAAGAGGGACAAAGAGTTTGGGCCAAGTTTGAGCTCCGGGCACTGCCAGGCTCGGGGGAAGGAAGGTCCCCCGGGCGGACACCTGGGTGCCGAAGGTGGAGCAAGGAGAAAAAGCTACCCGGTGAATTCACGACCCTGGGGATGGTGGTCGGCGGGGGGGGGGGGGGGGCGGGGGAGGGGGCGGCGGCCAATTCCGGCCGAGCGAGTGGCGGGCGAGCTGGGGCTCCGGAAGGCAGGCCTTTCTCGCTCCGAAGTAAAGCCAACCGTCCTGCCGGTCCACCCGGGTTTCCGCAGTCCCCCTGGAAAGCTCCTTCCCCTCTTGCACCAAACTTTGCGCCGGGCTTTGCAACCTCCCGAGGAGGCTGCGGCACAGGAAGGGTTAAGACTGCCAGTCCCAGCTGACAGTCAGCTGATTGGGCTCTGATTGACAGCTCGGAAAAGTTTCCTTGTTTCTATATTATGCTAATCGCGGCCGCTCTCGCCGCCTCCCATTGGTCCGGAGTACCAGTCAATTTCCCTTTTGGGCCTGACGTCACAAGTGCTATAAAACTCAGCAATTGCTTTAAACTCTTCTTGCTGGATCAGAGGCTTTAAAATCTTTTTTTCATCTTCGAGCTGTAGCTCGGGCTGCTCGTCGGCTCGGCCTCTCCCCTTGTGCTCTCCGCCTCGCCTTTCCCCAGGACTTCGCTATTTCGCTTTAAAAAAAAAAAAGGCAAGAAAGAACTCCGCTCCCCCCTCCCTTTCCTCCAGCCCGGCTGCACCTCTGTCTTGCACTTGGCACGGAGGGAGGAAGACCGCGAGGTTGAGAGAGAGAGAGAGAGAGAGAGAGAGAGAGAGGAAAGGAAAAAAAAAAAAGCCAGGCAGAAGAGGAGGCGAGAAGCATGAAGTGTTAACTCCCCTGTGCCAAGGCCCGCGCCGCCCGGACAGCGGCCCGCCGCGCCTCCAGCCCCGAGCGGCCGCCGCGCGCGCCCCGCCTGCAGCCCGGGCCGGCGAGGCGAGCACTCCTTATGCAAAACGCGCAGCGGAGCGGCGAGCGGAGGACGCCGCGCACCCAGCCGGGCTCTTCTGGCTTCGCCGCCGCCGCCGCCACCGCAGCCCGCAGAGGACCTTCCCGAGCCTGAAGCCGCCGGCTCGGCGCGCTAGGAGGCGAGCAAGCGAGGAGGGGCCGGGGCGAGCGAGCAAGCACATTGGCGTGAGCAGGGGGGAGGGAGGGCGGGCGCGGGGGGCGCGGGCAGGGCGGGGGGGGGGGGGTGTGCGCGCTCGGAGGTTTCGGGCCAGCCACCGCCGCGCGAGCTAGAAGCGCCCCAGCCCGGCAAGCTGGCTCACCCGCTGGCCACCCAGCACAGCCCGCTGGCCCCTCTCCTGCAGCCCATCTGGCGGAGCGGCGGCGGCGGCGGCGGCGGCGGCAGGAGAATGGCATCAGAACTGGCAATGAGCAACTCCGACCTGCCCACCAGTCCCCTGGCCATGGAATATGTTAATGACTTCGATCTGATGAAGTTTGAAGTGAAAAAGGAACCGGTGGAGACCGACCGCATCATCAGCCAGTGTGGCCGTCTCATCGCCGGGGGCTCGCTGTCCTCCACCCCCATGAGCACGCCGTGCAGCTCGGTGCCCCCTTCCCCCAGCTTCTCGGCGCCCAGCCCGGGCTCGGGCAGCGAGCAGAAGGCGCACCTGGAAGACTACTATTGGATGACCGGCTACCCGCAGCAGCTGAACCCCGAGGCGCTGGGCTTCAGCCCCGAGGACGCGGTCGAGGCGCTCATCAGCAACAGCCACCAGCTCCAGGGCGGCTTCGATGGCTACGCGCGCGGGGCGCAGCAGCTGGCCTCGGCGGCCGGCGCCGGCGCCGGCGCCTCCCTGGGCGGCAGCGGCGAGGAGATGGGCCCCGCCGCCGCCGTGGTGTCCGCCGTGATCGCCGCGGCCGCCGCGCAGAGCGGCGCGGGCCCGCACTACCACCACCACCACCACCACCACGCCGCCGGCCACCACCATCACCCGACGGCCGGCGCGCCCGGCGCCGCGGGCAGCGCGTCCGCCTCGGCCGGTGGCGCGGGCGGCTCGGGCGGCGGCGGCCCGGCCAGCGCCGGGGGCGGCGGCGGCGGCGGCGGAGGCGGCGGCGGCGGCGGCGGGGGCGCGGCGGGGGCGGGGGGCGCCCTGCACCCGCACCACGCCGCCGCGGCCTGCACTTCGACGACCGCTTCTCCGACGAGCAGCTGGTGACCATGTCGGTGCGCGAGCTGAACCGGCAGCTGCGCGGGGTCAGCAAGGAGGAGGTGATCCGGCTGAAGCAGAAGAGGCGGACCCTGAAAAACCGCGGCTATGCCCAGTCCTGCCGCTTCAAGAGGGTGCAGCAGAGGCACGTCCTGGAGTCCGAGAAGAACCAGCTGCTGCAGCAGGTCGACCACCTCAAGCAGGAGATCTCCAGGCTGGTGCGCGAGAGGGACGCGTACAAGGAGAAATACGAGAAGCTGGTGAGCAGCGGCTTCCGAGAAAACGGCTCGAGCAGCGACAACCCGTCCTCTCCCGAGTTTTTCATGTGAGTCTGACACGCGATCCCAGCTAGCCACCTTGATAAGTGCTCCGTGGGGGTCCGACTCGGGTGTGGGCTTGCCACTTCCAGAGCCTTACTCGCCACCGCCTCGCCCCCTCCCCTCCCGAGCTTGCCCCCCCCCCAGTTGCCCCCTGCGCGCACGCACACGCACACACACACACACACACACACACAACACACACACACACAACACACACCGTGCTCCGAGTTGGTGGTGGTGGCGACGGCTGTTTTGAAGTCGGGGAGGGGCAGGTTGTCTGGCTCATGCATTGCCAATCTGAAATTCTCCATAACTCGCTAGCTTGTTTTGTTTTTTTTTTTTTAACACTCCCCCCCCAACGTGCTCAATGTTCAGCGATCTCGGCAGAGTTCCTCATGCTCACCTTTGAAGCCTGCATCATTCACATATTTTTTTCTTCTTCAGTTCATGAGCTGGTGTTCATTTTCTGTGTGTGTGTGTTTGTATTGTTTGGATTTTTTTTTTTTAATTAGAGTTTTTGGAGCTTGCTGTGTTACCTCCTTTTTTTTCCTCCCCACACTCCACCCTCACTCCCTCTCCACCCATCTCCTCTGAGATAAAAGAAAAAAAAGAAAAAAAAAAGCTAAGTTTTTTTTTTCTCCTCCTGAGTTCTTCGTATGAGATTGAGCTTGCAAAGGAAAAAAAAAATGTGAAATGTTATACACTTGCAGCGTGCTGAGTTCCATCGGGTTTTTTTGAGCATTGTTATGCTAAAATAGAGGGGAAAAATCCTCATGAACCTGCCACAATCAAGCCTGCATCAACCTTCTGGGTGTGACTCGTGAGTTTTGGTCCTTATGATGCCAAATCTGAGAGTTTAGTCTGCCATTTAAAAAACTCATTCTCATCTCATGCATTATGATGCTTGCTACTTTGTCTTAGCAACAATGAACTATAACTGTTTCAAAGACTTTATGGAAAAGAGACATTATATTAATAAAAAAAAAAGCCTGCATGCTGGACATGTATGGTATAATTATTTTTTTCTTTTTTTTTTCCTTTTGGCTTGGAAATGGACGTTCGAAGACTTATGGCATTGGCATTCATACTTTTGTTTTATTGCCTCATGAGTTTTTTGAGTTCAGAACAAAAAAAGTGCAACCGTAGAGCCTTCTTCCCATGAAAGTTTGCATCTGCTCCAAAACTGCTTTGAGTTACTCAGAACTTCAGCCTCCCATTGTAAATGCACTGAAGGGATTCCTTGTTAAAGATGCCAGAATGGGTTAAAAAATTTAACACGGCCAACAGTAAAGAACTCTTAATGCTTTCTTTTTAATAAGAATGACTGCCCCACTGGGGAGACTAAAATTGTGCTGTTGCCGAAAGCAGTCTAAAATTTATTTTTTAAAAAAAGAAATCTGCCCCGTTATTTTTTTTGTTTGTTTTTTTTTTTTTTTTTTTTTTTTGGCTTTTGGTCATTGTCAAATG